CTTCTGACATATAGATCGAATGATATCCATTTCGGTCTGGTATTTCGGCTGCAGCGGCGAGATTGGGACGAAAAGCATATTGGAGTAGCACCTGTTAGCACCGTGTGAACTCATTCGAGGGTACGTCAGGCTGTTGCTGCCAAGGCTTTTTGTTCAATGACCATTTATTTGTACAGCATGCCCTTTACAGAAAGAGGATACAAGATGGGAAGAAGTGGAATATACAATTTGGGGATATAGAAAGGTGGCTTGTCTTCAGTTGTGGTTGGAGTCCAGGGGCCTGTTCCTCGCCTGTGCTAAACTTAAATCTAAATCTAAATCTAAATCTAAAAACAGTCTAAAAGCAGTCTAAAAACAAAAAGTCTATTCTTCGCCCTGACCATTTAGACTAAGATTTAACCTAAGATTTAGATTTAGATTTAGATTTAAGTTTAGCACAGGCGAGGAACGGGCCCCTGATCTTGGGGTTGTAAGGGTGGAGTGGAGGTCTTGGGGTTGGGTTGGTCCGCTGCCAGCCACCAGGTGGTGTTGTCAGGTCAGGGGTTGCTGAGGGAGGTAAAAGATATATCAGTCGGCATGGTCATTGTGGGGGGGCTGCCAAGGCGACTTACAAGGACGTATATGTTCAGTAGATCGGACCTTTCTGGGGGCTCCAGAGATGCACGTAGAGCTGCTTCTGGAGCAGTAACTTAATCAAAGAAGGAAGTGTGTGAGAAATTCGGCGAGAAAATGGAATTAGATTACCGTATTGCTACCGGCTTGTTCTGGTTAATTACTCGATAGCTCCGATAAAACAGACAAGATTCTGTCCATCATGAATGACCGAAACGACGTAGTGTTGGCTGCCGAAGTGGAAATACTTACAGAGATGGAAGGCAACATTTGAATATATCTTAAACAGACCCTTATAGGCTTCTGATTGGACAAACTCGAAGCGTGGAGAGTACTCCCACCATGGGAGAAGCTCTGCAGGAGATCATCAGGCTCAAGAAAGGAAAGTCATTTGGCATGGATGAAATCTCTGCTAAGGCACTGGAAGTGATGGGCATCGACGTTCACTCATGGCTGGGTATTATATGTCAAGCCTCATGGGAATCGGAAACAACGCCTATCGAATAGTAAACCGGCGGGCTGGTTCCTCTTTTTAATGAGGAAATCCGGTGGAATGCACCAATTACTGTGGAGTTGCCCTCTTCAACATCCCTGGCGAGGTCTATGCCAAGGTGTTGGACTATAGCGAGTAGAGTCTTTAGAGGAGTGCAGCTTTCGTGATGGGGCAGAACTTTCTGATAGAGGGAGGGTCCTCAGATCCTCGAAAGGCATCGAGAGTGTGCCATAGAGGTTTCCATTCACTCGGTGGACCTCGAAAAAGGGAATGAACGTTTGCTTCGAGGGAAGCTGCTGGGAGTATTGCGGGAAAATGAGATTAGCGGTCGGCTACTGCTAGCCATTCAATCCTTCTTCGGTGATTGCCGGGGTTGCATGGGAATGAACGGGAGGATGGCCTGCAGAGGACCAGTCGGTAGACCTCGTACAAGGTGGAAGGATTATATAGCGAAGCTTTGTCGCTCCTGAAGGCAGTCAGAAGACATTATACCTGTTGAGCTCGAGTCTGTTGGCTAGGATGAGGAACAGCCGAGGACTCTCACAGGCTTGTTTTAACCAAAAGACCCCATTGAATTAGAAATGACGGTTTGGAAAAGTACGCACGCATGTATGAAGATTGGAAACGAGAAGAGCCGATGAAGCAAGGTACTCTGTTCTTTTTTTTCGAAAAAGAGCTTGTTCGGACCCCACATGATTGATACGTGAGCAAGAAATTAATCAAGGCCGCAATCCCATTCACCCATTCCTAGAAGTCCTTATACTTAACCTCATAATCCTGCTGGAAGACGTGAGACTGCTGATTGAATCCGTTCGCTAGGAAGAGCATTGCATGGGAATGGCTCTTCTCACTCCCTTTAACAGCCGGGTGTTTCCTTCCCGCAGACAGGTCCTAACAATAAATGAGATCTTTCCCCCCTATTTAATCGATGTGCGGAAACTCCTCGTTTTTCTCATCTTTGCTAATGTAGCTCTGCTGAGAAAAGAGGGAAAGTGCCCTACATATTTCATGAGACAGAGCCATTGACTCGAAATCCCCTGTTCTCGTGGACCGAATGCCTGGGAACGGGAACAGGAATAGAATCTCAAATAGCCTCGCCAGAATCTCCTCTTTATTTCCTCCTTCATCTCGAGTAGAACAGAAATTCTCTCATCTCGTATATACCAGAGACTTGAGGTGCCGCACGGAATAACAAAAAACGGGTCCGGCACGGATTTCTGTTGTGCCTTTTAGTGGAAGAATTATCTCTACCTTGCAGCGCAAAGGCATTTAATGGGAGTGAGGGAATGTAATTGAGTGGGAATCAATGCCCTCCATATGCATGCATATGATTTCCCTCATAAATACCCTTTCCAGCCCGGATCTAGTTACGCCATCTCCAATCGATATTTCCCCCTGCTTTTAAACTCCATATGGATGATCTCGGAGAGGAATCCAGGCGGATAATTTGGATTCATCGAGGACCTGTTGATCTGAGAAAGCTGGGAAAATATGATTCCCCTCCATACGAAGTGCAGTCAGTCTGCTCGCAATAAAGGGTAGAGAATGTCGAGGGGGAGAGCATGCGAAAAAAATGAAGGAGAATGAGAAAGGATGGAGGTTTATATCGGTCTCTCTCTTCGGATGCCATAACCGTCGTCTGGACTATCGCAGTTGGGAATGATGCCATTATCATTCTTCATCGCATTCCATAGGAATGGGGATCCTCAGGCCAAGTCTTCTCCCAACTTCATCCTCTTGATTCGATTTATTTTTTGTCAAGCCAGGCTTGAAACCCCCATCGATATTTCAGACGTCATGGTTCTGTCACGGGAGAAAAGGTTTTTTTTTTTCCTTTCGGACCAGGGTGATTTGACGGATGTCATTCCATGCGAGAAGACAATCAAGGCTTCCTTCTTCGGATTCCGTTTCCCCCATTGCCTTCAAAAGGACTGATAAGGAACGTGAAGAATAAAAGAAACTGGCCCACATCGATTTACCCCTTCTCTTTCTTCTTTTAATTTAATGCAGTTCGTTCACCTCTTTCTCTCTCCCTCCATCTTTCTCAAGAGGCTTTTGGCAAAAGGCCTCGCTTATGATTGAGAGGTCGAATGAAATATGGTTATCTCATCGAGGAGGATATCAGATTTATTCCGCGATCAGTCATGAACGAGAGTGAGGAACTACGATGTTAGCAATGGGATTCGGTAGGATTCTCTCTCCCTCTATTCCTCCGTCCCACTTCTCCATTCCTACCTCCACCCCTCCACTCCCTCCACCCCCTCCACTCCCTCCACCTCCCTCCACCTCCCTCCACTCTCTTCAATTCCCTCCACCCTCCTTACTCCTTGACAGTCCTCGATGAAGAGGTGACCGTCTAGAGAGGCAAGAAACGAAAGTTTTGAGCGGGTTTGCCTGATTTCCCTGTAGACCTTTTAGCGCTATGTACGCAAAAGGGGAGAAGAGGGAAATGTCATCGGATGTCATCGTCCACGTTTGAATAGATGATCCCTGCTTTTAAGAGAGAGCAACCATATTGGATTTCTCTCTTTCGTCTTGGCCTTTGGCATCCCGATCCTGGCTCATCCTCCTCTTCTTCGTCTCTATCAGCTTGCAGTTTTGGTTCAGAAACCTGTCGATCACATTTTTTTTTTTGCGCTGGGCTCCTTAGTGCAAGGGAAAGGACAACATTCAATGGGGACAATGAAGAATGCGACTCGGAAGGAGCAGGAACGAAGAAGGATAGCAGATGTTGGCATCATTTCTCACCTTCCTCATCGCTTCTCGCAGCTTCCTCATCACGACACGATCGTTTGTGGCACGTGTTACCCTCCGACTTCATTGATGAAGCATCGGGGCCAAAACACGGCAGCCTCCTGGAACTACATCATCTATTTCAATCCCCGGAGTTCTTTGCTCCATATTTCCATTCGACGGGCTACAATGGATACCCTGCAGCCACTGAATTTGCGTCGCATGATTCGTTGCCAGACATTTTTCTTCTGGGATGTCATCTAACCCCTGCTGGCTTTATTCATGTCGTTTCATTTCATGCAAATCAGTCACGACGAAAAAGCCGAAATTAGCATCCTTGCGAACGGCCATTTTTCCTGTCCCACGACAGGTTCGTCGTTCCAGATTTTATCATATTACACTTCACGTCCGGTTAAAACAATCATATTCTGTCTTTCCTCGTTCTTCCATAAAATTGTTTCTTTGCGGATTTAAAATATATCCCACGGATTGAGATAACTGCCTATTAGGAAGCGAGGCTGCTTTGGCAGCGGAGTGCCTTTATGCGTGAGCCAAGTGCATTTTATGCGATTTGTCTGCTCCATTTGGAAGCAATCGAGCAAACTTTAATCTTGATATGGTGCAAATGAATAGAAGAACTGAAGCTCTGAGAACGGTTCAATTTAAATGAGGAAGATAGAGCACGAAAATTTTCTTCAAATGGAAGGCGACTTTGTATGGAACGTCTTCATAAGGCAAAGGTGCCTTCAGCCACGTGGAACGTGCCGATTCGAATCGTGGTAATCAGATTAGGAGATTGGAGATCCGTTCGTGTAATTCCGGAGCTTTGAATTAAAATATTCTCGGAAACGGCAGGGAGGACAGAAAGAAGGCGCTTATTTCCTCTGCGCGGATTGAGCGTTAATGAAGTAAAAAAAGGAAATCCCAAGAGAAATTAAACTAGGGGGCTTCTCCGATGGTTCATTTTGTGCGTTTCTCCTTTGAGCGGGCTTCCCTTCTTTCCCCCTCCCCCTAATCTTTAAGAGTGGACCCTTATGCATACGATATACAAATCGAGTCGCTGCTGCTGCTGCTCCTGCTGCCGAGATCGGCGGGAACAAAGACGGCGAACCGCCGTCGCTTAAACGCCGTCGCTGAAACGCTGTCGCTCTCGCCGCGACAGACGTGTTCTTCGGGCCCATATGCGACGACTACACGCTGGCACCCGTGGCGCGCTACGCGGCGAAGTGGAACATCCCCGTCCTCACCCCCGGCGGCCAGGCCCCCGGCTTCACGTGCAAACGGGACTACGAACTCCTCACCCGCATGCTCGGCTCCTACAGTCAAGTCGGCGAGTTCTTCCGCCACGTCACGTCGCGATGGAACTGGAAGACCCTCTCCCTCGTCTACGAGAACACGGCCACGTCCGGGAATTCCCCCTGCTATTTCATGATGGAAGCCGTGTTCAAAGCCCTGGGGAAGGTCCCTCACCACAGGCAGATCTACCCCACCACAGAGTCGAAGCATGTGCTCCTCAACGTCACCCAGGAGGCCCGAAGTAAGGACCCGTCCGATTCCTCCTCGAGACCCGGGAGTAACCCAGAAGTAATCACGACGTCACGATCGGATTAAGCGGGATGAAAAATGACGCGAATTCCCTTTGCTCCGTGCGGAAGGGAGCCGGGAAAGGCAAAGCTGGAATGTTTGGAATGAACGTGATGGCTCGTAAATCCCCGTCTCTCTAATCTAATTTCAACTCTGGCCTCGGCATGGCCTTGGCCCGTTAAACCGTGTCGCGGACACTTTCCGGCTTCCCTTTATTGGACTCGCCGAGGCGAATGTCGTAATGGGAAGGGAAGCGAAAACTTGCCTCTGCGTCCCGTCAAAGATAACGAAACCCCCATTTCCCCCTCATTTCCTTCTCACGGGAGAATGTGTCGTCGAAAGATCGAAACGTGGATCCTCGCGGACGCGACCGAGTCGAGATCGAGTCCGACCTCGCAGCAATTTCGGAGGCGGAAGAGATCATGAAACGGGGAATGGGTAATAAGGCAGAAGAGGTCCCGGAACGGGGAATGCGTAATAAGGCGGAACAGGTGTATCTGTTTGTGAACCTGTTGCGATGAGGATTTGCCAGCTGTTTTATTGAGGCGCCAGCCGGGTAATTGGGACGTAAAGATTGGATTTCGGGAAGAGAGAGAGTCCGCATCCTCCTCATCCTTACATTAGGAAGGGAAGGAAAAATAAGGAATGGTAAGGGTAATGAAAAACAGGTGGGGTTAAGCAAGGAAGGACAGGGAAGAGGGCACCTGTCTTCGAGTTTGCTTTCATAATGTCTCCAGAGAGACTCGAGGACCTTATCCATCCTGGTTAGTGTAGAAGCTGCCAGCCTTTTATCAGCGGGAGAAGCAACCGCTCTCGACCGCCCGAGCACTTATCGTCGTCGAGTACCTTTCGTCTCTGCTTTCCTATATTCCGCGAACTCGAAGCCGAAAGCGAAAAGTCAAGGAAGAGGAATCGCGGGAGAACGACAAAATCGTCGTCGAAAGGGAGAGGGAGTGACTCGGAGAGGGAGTGTTCCAGTGGAAGGGAGTAATGCGAGGATATAAAATCCGTAGTTGGATGTGGATGTCCGTATGGATTCCCCGGTTCTCATCCCTCTCCCCTCTCTCCCCGCTTCCCGCGCTATATAGATATTTCCCAGAAGAGGGGGAATCCATCGTCTTCACCTGACAGCCCTTTGCCCCGGTTTTCCCCCCGCATCCGGTTCCCAATACGGAAAACCCACATCCGGGGTGAATGTGTGCTAAATAGTGGCCAGAAATGAGGAACGAGGCATGTGAAGTTGAGGGTGACGTCATCCATGAATACCTTCCAGGCTCTCTTTTCATCTCTCCTGGGAAACCGATACGGGAAGTCCACGGAGTTGATTTCAAGAGTAAATAGAAGACTCAGCCAGTCGAGTGTCCTTTATTCATCCTGTTGCTGTTGGCTGGATGGGGGGGTTTGGATTGAGGATACGTCGAAAGGGAAGCCTCCAAGTAATGCATGAATGACGTCGCTCCAATTTCTCGTCTAGTGCCATTACGTCTTTTTATCGTATCCTTTTCCCATCATGATGCTTGCAAATGATGCGACGCGAGAGCGGTCGAGAATGTCTGGACTCCCAGAAAGAAATCTTTTCCCTTTCGACGGGTCGAGTTGAGTGGATGTGAATGCCACTTCTTATGAGACTGTGTTTTGCTTGCGACAGATAAGTAAATTCGCCGAGGCATCACTGAGCCCAGGTTATTCCAGGGAGTCAATATCCGGCGGAAACGTGAGGACAGGTGCCACTGTGTTTTCAGGGGTGCAAGGACTCACGACGTCTTCCGAAGAGAACCCCAAGGGCAACTACTGTACGGAGTGATTTGGAAAGTTACTCCTTTTTTTTCTATAAATTTGGTTCCAATATGGGTAGAAAGTTCCTTTTTGCAGCATTCGAAAGCCATTTGCTTTTATTTTTTTTCCAATACTCCAATTACTCATCGACAAAAGCTCCGGCATTATCATTATTTTCCGCCACAATCTCTGAAACCATGGACAACCAAACCTCAAGCGTTGCAATTTTGGCGCGGTCACTAACTCAACTGCTGCGCCATCTTTTTCATGTAATCAGAACATTTGTGATATAAAAAAAAAAAGTTCTATCATGCCTTTCAAATGCTTCAGAAAAACAGTTTTTATCCTTATTGGAACTAAAGCTTAGAATATAAAAAAGAGGGAATGGCTTTCCAATCACCCCGCACAATAGTCTCCCATTATGGGGATTGAGCGGCTCGCATTCCGATTCACCGAGGCTGGATTGCTCACTTTAAAGGCAGGGCGCAACTAAAAAATTGAGCCAGTACCTCATGAGCTGTGACTCCAGTTGGCTAGCGACTAAAGTTGCCCCTAATGGAGCTTCCAATTCATTTGTGGACCGGCTGGCGTCTGCAGTCTGCACAGGAGACGAAGGGGGGGATGGGGGGGGGGGGGAAATGATCTTTCAGGGGATGAGAATGAAGGACGCGGGAATGATGTTTCCGCCGTGTCTCTCGAGCTCGTTCTTGCGCTGTGATTCCAGTCGATTCCAGTCGTCTCGCCGTTATCCCTTCACCATTCCGATGCGATTGAAAATGTGAAATGTACCGTATCGATCGTAACCGTTACTCCTTTTTTTTATTACCTATTTTGCTTTTACGGTATACAGAAATGGCCTCGGGGAACGAGGAACGAGATCGTACGAGAAGGGAAAAAAAAAGAGGCATTTTGAAATGTATCGAATGGGCTCGCTCCATGCGACTCGAAGCCTAGTGAAGCCAGGGTGAAGGCTCTGAAGATGCTCGTCGTAGATTCTTCTTTGAGGTTTCTCTTCTCTTTTCGAACGATAACCTAGGGTCGATGATTCCCTTGGATCATTCCTATTGTTTAAAGTCGCAATCGAAAGATTAACCGAATTCCCGCATCTCCCGTCGAAGGAATAATGGCGGCGTCAAAAACATTTTTTAAAAAGCGGTCGGAGAAGGTGACTTTAACGCATTCTTCATTCCATGCAGAGATTTAGTTTCCTTAAACACATCTTAATCGCAATGTGTCACATGGAGATAAAAATCTCAATGTAGCTTTTTGCCTTTTATGTGAAGTTGAGGATGTAATTTTAGCCTTTGTACTGAGAGAGAGAGAGAACTGCACCCTGATTAAATTAGATTAATTGATGAAATAATTAAGGAGGCTGTGTCAAAGTCAAAGGGACATGGGACAAAGACGTGCCTTAGGCAGTTCTTTTCCCCTGACGCCTTCTGACATATGAAGACCGAAAGGAAAGAGCCTCACCGGGAGATATTAATGCCATGCCTCTCGCTGGAGTTCAAAGAGAATGGAAGCCGAAAGCCGAAATTCGGAGCCTATCCGAGGTTCCATCCTGCGATCGCGAGGAACGCGGGCCACGGAAGACGCTCGTCTCTGGGAATGGACTCGTTCACCCCCATCCTCCCCTGTTGCCGTGCTTCCAAGCCGCGTCTGTCCCTTCTCGATCGTGCTGGGAAGCAGCACGACCGAGCACGACCCACGACCCTCCGTCTGACAGTCGAGCAACACTGGACTGCCTCAGGGGTATGCCCTCTTGGCTCCTTCCCCACCCTAAGTGGAAATAGGCGTCAGCTGCTGCAAGGAGATAAGCCATTTGGCGACTCTACTCCAATTTGCTACAACAGAAGCAAAAATTCTCCCCCCACTCCCGTCCACATGTTTTTTTTCCCAACTCCGCGATTGCTTGTGTCCTACATTCTTAGGATGCTATCATTACGAAGTGGAGCTCATACGTGACAAGATCACTGAATTTCATGCCCCGTGCGATCTCGTTTGACGTCATCTGTCGATATCAGCCGAATCCCATGCCAGAATTTCTTATTTGTTAATACGTTGAGAATAAAAGAAAAGGACGATAGGAGACGATAAAAAATGAAGCTGATAACATGGAGTGATCAGACGGAAATAATATCTGGCGCATTCGTTGGCCTTGGTCTCACGAGGATCGCATACATCTGCCTGTTTGCTTCGTAACCGCGATATCATTTACCCCAAGAAACTTGATTCCTATAAGAAAACCTTGAGGAAATTGGATGAGTCAGGCGAAAGTGATATGTTGTGTATCGCCAGTTTTGAAATACTCCGTAATTGAGGGGATTAACCTTTATCTGACGAGTGGGACACATATTGTACCACTGAAAGTCCTTATAGTTTTGGCACGGCCTGTATTTTTTATTTAACCAACTTTCGTCTATCCCTTTGTATTAGTTCCTGGGAACTGATGAGGGGTCGCTTGTGAATGAAAGAAAGCCATTGATGTCAACAATGACTACCAAAACAGTTTTCTTTTAGCGTATCAACCGCATGCTTTTCCAAGTGCGTCATGCTTGCACGTGTGTGAAAATCGTAGAGAGTTGTCAACGACTACATCAATTTCTACTCTTCAATTTGATTTTTGTAGTATTATGCTAGCTCAAAACATGGTGAAAATATTAATCTTTTGTAGTAATTAACGGATTAAAGGGCGCTATTGGATTCCGGCCGTCAAGGGAGCCAAGTATTTGAAATACCCTTACGATAAAGGTGATGGTAAAATAATGCTATTAAGATAACTGGGTCGGGCAGCCATTTTAACGGATGATTTTTTTTTGCATCGTCGATAGAATAATGGTGAGTTCCTGCCGTTTCCCCTGCGAATTCCCCCTTGAAAATTTGATCTGCAATTGAAATTGAATGAAGTTGTTCTGTGCGGACGGGGGCTGGAAGCAATTGACTCTAGTCTGAGGCACAGATGCAGCACGTATGCTGCACGTATGCGGCACGGATGCCTGCTGAAAAACTCATCACAAAGGTGGGTACATTTTCGTGGGTACGTCAAGGCCCGCTAATTATTTTTTGCGCCAAGTTTCATTGGCTTCCTTTAATTGGCAGCGGAGAGGCCCTGGATTAAGTAAAGATATTGAGAATAATGCTCTAGGGGAAAACTGCTCTTTTCCTGCCCCGATCTTTCCTGGAAGAGATTAAATCCACCCTCTGACGTCAGTATTGGTACATGTACTGTATGATGAGAGCGTGGGCATTTATAGAGGTGCCCTGTTTGTAGGCATCTATTATAAACTATACTCTTCCACCAGGAGGAATGGGCGCGTCTGGAAAGGATCCGTACGTATGCGATGAAACAAACACGAGGGCTACCTTGGATTTTCCTATGAAGGACGTGATTGTTTTCCCTTCGCCCCATTATGGAGGGAAGACGGTGCATGCAGCCCACCCCTATTTCACCGAGCTTAAAAATAGAACTAAAAATAGGATTCACATCGGGAGGGGATGAAATCCGACGGAGAAGAGAGAATCGGAAAGACTGCTTTAGTGTTCATCCATTTCGCGGGTGGAATCCCGATCCCGCGGGTGCAATCTTCCTTCTTTCCCATGTGGCCCTCTCCTTTCCCTTTCCATTCGGCCCCGTTTATGGATGGAGGCGAGGGACATTTTCATGGAGGCGAGGGACATTTTCATGGAGGCGAGGGACATCTTCATGGAGGCGAGGGACATCTTCATGGAGGCGAGGGACGGCCCTCCGTTCGAGATGTTTGCATTCGTTCATGGGATCGAAGTGCTCACACTTTCCGGGGGCACATTCCTTCCGTGTGAACTCGTGCACGTGCAAACTGCATTTTCCTTCGCCTTCTTTCGTCGCGGACGGGGGTACCCTTTCGTTTGCAACACGCTCTGTCGTCGAGGTCGTTTAGAGGAAAAACACGTCCGTTGGGATATAAAACGATGCGAGATTTCGAAAACTCCATGGGAAGGTTTCTCTCTTCGGTCGAGAAAGGCCGAAGAGCAGATGTTCGCGATTCGCGGCTTCCGTTTTCCATACCGTGCAGGCGACGGTGGGAAGACGAGCCTGTGTTTGTCTCGGGGGGAATCCGACCGAGAATGCGAGTCCAAAGAGCAGCCTATATGGGCGATGCCTTTGCCTATTTATTATCAAACGGAGCGGACGAGACGAGTCTTTCCCTCCGTGTGGACACGTTTCGTCTCTTCATATCACTCCCTCCGATAAGAGTCTCTCCCTTGCTTCCATCAATCCCATTATATGGAAGGCAGGGACTCGGATGCGACAGTGCGAGAGTGAGTGCGAACCCGGCTGGGCACCATCATGGTTCAGGATCCCCTCGATGGGCGTGACGAAGGCATTCTTCTTCCTGTTGTTGGCCTCCTTGGCGAGGGGAGAGTCCAAGTTGTCGCTGGTCGTGCCGGTCCGCGGATGGAACAAGGAGGCCGAGACACCGGATGTCTGTGTCGGAGCCGGTAACCGGCCCCTCCTGCTTCGTCTGGATGAGAAGCAGCTTCGTCTCACCGTTCTGGGTCTGGACGACCCGGAGTACCCGTTCAACCTCATGGCGACGAGCGTCGCTGCGCACGTCGGTGCCACGCACGCAACGAGGCAGGTGTTGCCTGGGTGGCAGGTCAGGATCGTCGCTGTCTCGGTCTCGTGTGATCCCACCTGTGCCTCCCTGAGGGCGCTCAAAAGCGCCGAAAGCTCTCGTACGACTACGTCGCTCCTTTCCGTCCGTTCGGTATCGTTGCGGATTCTCTAGTCTTGCTTTTGTGGTGTCGGTCAGATGGGATCCTGGGGCCTGTGTGCAGCGACTACGTGATCGCTCCGGTCGCCCGATTCACGACGGCCATCGGCGTCCCCGTCCTCACGCCCGGTGGCCTTTCCGCCGGTCTTTCCCTCAAGCAGCCTCAATATCGCCTCCTCACCAGGATGATGGGTTCCTACGACGCGTTGGGCGACGTGTTCAACGCCCTCCTCCCGCGATTCCATTGGGGCAACCTCGGAATCGTGTATTACAAGCACGCAGACTCGGAGCAGAACACTCAGTACTCGTGGATCGCTCAGGCCATCCAACAGAGGCTGCACAAGGACGTCGACGTCTATTACCTCAGATTCGGGGACCCCGAAGATGCCGATTTCTACTCGAAGCTATTGGAACACCTGAGCACGAAAGCTCGGAGTGAGTCTCTTCGAAATCCCCTCCGAAATACATGCAGGCTTCGGTGGATGCGTGCCTTCTCCTTGGGTCTGCATGTCCCTTTTACCTAGACACGGGGGACTCGAATAGGGGGAGGGGGAAGGAGTAAATCCTCTTTGAGGTACGAGGGCCAATCGGCATTTGTGGGATTTCGCAGCCAGTCGCTATGAAAGCTTGCTCTATCTCTTGGATGACACATCCACGAGAGGAAAGGAAAGAATGGGACAAAGGAGGAAAAAAAGGTCTTTCCCTTTGTATTCCCTGGGAACCGTATAAGCAGATATATTTGCTGGCAGAGCTGCAGCAGCGGCATTGATCCACCTGTCTCCTTTTCTCTCCCTCTGTCTCTCATTACGGGGGAATGAGGTGATAGAATCGCCATCCAGGCCATTGCATTATACAGTACATCAGAAGATGAAGAGAAGAACAAAAAATAGCGATCCCCTGGGTCATAAAGCCATTATGTACTTGCTACTTCCCATCTCGTATCCTCCTTCTATTCCCGATTTGAGTCTACGAGACGATCGAAGAGAGTTTCTGAGATCGTCATCCCGACTTTTGCTCTTTTTCTTCTCCCAAGTGGAAACGGATACGCCGCTAATTCATTCCGCTAAGCCTCTTCCTCAGACGAGAGCGGTTTGTAATGCAAACTCAGGTAATAGGAGGTAATGGGTTTAAGTAACGAGAGGTTCTGGATTTCACCACCAACATCGAGTGGCTATTTTTCCTCCTTCGTTCTCGTAACACTTTTGTGGATTCCGAAGTGGAAAAGTGAGATAACTCGAGGATGTTGTAAATTCACCGGTAGGTTGGGTTTGAAAACGAGTTGGGGCCTGGTTGAGTCATCGTCTTCCGGCTGCATGGCGTGAATGCGATGAACAAGGTAAAATGCCTTCCGGTTTAATGTCATCATACAGCTCAGGAAAATAATAGGTGGAGAGAATGGGGGTGAGAATGGAGGGAAAAAGAGGAAGTACCGGTTTTCCTCTATCTGGATCCTGGAACCGGATTTCGTGACTGTTATGGGCAAGGTGGGAGTCAAGGTAGTCACGTATGGATGAAATTTGTAGGGTGCGATGCACGAACCCACGACAAAGCCGTCAATAGAATGCCCCTAAAGAAACCATCTATTCGGCATTCTTTAGAATTTCCGCAAGATTTCTAGGGAGTAGTCTATATTGTGATATATAGATATAAAGAATCCCCTATAGAAGGAAGAACTCTCTCTAAAATCCCTATAAAGGTTTTTTTGTAGAGGGATATATTGAGTCATTCTACGTCAAATCATCTCATCATAAAACATGATTTTGCCGATTTTGATGAAAATTTTGGGCCATTGCTCTGTACGATTGAGAAGTTATGACCCCCCCCCCCGAAAAATGTTGCCTTCGGTCGCTTAGATTGTTGATAATTTGTAGATCTGCCTGAAAAAAAAATTGGCTGTTTGGTGACCGGGTAGCACCCTTGTCCTTTATTTTCATGAGTCTCTTTTAATTGAGCTAGAGGACAGGTTCATTGCTCTTTTTAAAGCTTTCTTCTTGCCATTTCCGAATATACCACGCATTTTGGTGTTACTGCAAATATGATCTTTAATGCTGAAATAGAGATTCTAACATTTGACCTCATTTCGCTAAAATACCTCATATGTGATTTCTATAAATTTTCTTTATGCATTCAGCTATGCAACTACTGAATCAATTGCAAAATAAAATAATTTTGGGATATTAAGAACTTTTGGAATTATGGACTTTTCCCAATTGATAGTTGAAAAATATCCTATCTGACAACCCATAAGGTATCGATGGGACTTTTTTTTTAAAGGGCATTTCTCTTACGAGAATCGCTCATCATATCGAGGCTTTATGTGCTCAATGTCTATGGAAAATTTAATCGATTCAACAGTAAGTTTCGATTTCTTACGTAACTCTGGGACTTCTGTTTCTGCCCTTCCCTTGCCGAAGATTCAACTAGTTTGGTAGATGCAGATAGCTTTCATAAAGTCCTTTAATTAAATTCAGAGTCTGGAAAAAAAAAACCTGGTAACGACTTTGAATCCTTATTACAGGAAAACCAGAAGGTCCACCTTGTGGGAAAATGGATAAAATTCTTTTTTATCTTTACGTTGCCTCTACATTTTCATCTAGCATAGATGTTGAACCTCGGAGACCAGCCGTGCCCGCCCTATTGCTGAAGCTGATCGTTGAGTCACATGGCTGCACAAACGCAGAAAAAGGAGAGGTTTGGGAGAAAAATGCCCAAATTCTGCTAACTGCTGGTTGTGCAAAGGCGGTCGTGTGTAATCTTCGAGTTTTTCTTTTAGAATGGTATTTTCTGAAGGAGATTGTGTGCTGCTCAATCAAGTGCATTTATGAAAGGACTGGGAACAGTTTGAATTGCGACAGAGTTACCAACGAATAATCGTATGTTTCTAGTATAGTTTCGAGTAACGTCTGAAGTGTTTCAATTCTTCATGTGCAATGCAAACTATTCCCTTGCCCTTTTGCTTCATCAGCACACGATATACAGAAAATAGCATTTTCTAGAATAAATGCACAGGTATGCAGAACTGCTTTTACAAAAGCGTTCGCTGAAGCAGGAGAGACACCAGGCGAACCTAAGGTCCCCTCTTGGGAATCCGACAATTTTTATCTACAATATGCCTTTCCTCTCCTTTTTCGTGGCGAAGCGATTCAACGATCACCTTCAGGAGTAGAGTGTGAACGGTTTCTTTCCCAAGTCAAGCATCTAATGTGCTATTGCTGCTGACACCAGCAGAATACATTTCCCCCCCACAATTTTAAGATACTACAGCACGGGTGGCCAAACCGTGGCTAGAGAGCCAGCCGCATGCGGCGCCCAAGCATTGCTAGCGTGACTCGCTGTGAAATGCTCTCGACTCTAAAATCCAGAGAATGCATGAGCGAAATGGTGTGTCTTGTGGCTCTCGGCCATATGAACACTTCATTATGCGGCTTGTAAGATCAGGAAGTTTGGTCACCCCTGTACTATAGGATATTATTTTATTCAGATTTTAACGAGACAGATCATCCGGTTTAGAGGAGGAATTCTTCAAAGCCGCTTCCAATCAGAATTTTGAAGGACCCTGCAGTCTGCATGGAGGATTATTCAGAACCTTTAATTGACAAATTATATATTGAATATATATATTTATGTTGCTCTTTTTTTTCCAAAATAAACCCTGACGACTTTCTGAAGAATGCCATTATGGAAATTTCATAGAGGTCTTCTTTAGAATACTTTCGTCTGAAAAGTAAAGTGAAGAGTGGAGACGCATTCATGCCCAGCAAGTGATTGTCAAGCCGCCATTCTTATGGTGAGAAACATTCCGCCAGAAAGATGTGCTGGAAGTAAATGATTCTGAGCGTTTCTTATCTATGATGGGATCTGGAGCCAGAGGGAGAGAGTGCCAAAAAAGTAGATTTTCTTTGTCTCCCAAGTCAATATGGAGAAGTTGAATCGTCTTTCCTGCTTTCTTCTCCGCTCCTGCATGAAAATGACATTTATAATGAATTCCCGAGGGGAGCGGAAGGGAGCTAACCCCAAAAGGCTCAAACGGTTTCCTGTGAGGTTTTCCCAGATTCACTTTAAAAGTGATAATGCAATGAGTCCATGTACTCTCTCTCGATCGATTGCCTTTAACCGTTGTAAAGGGCGAAGCTTTTACGTAGAGTTGCTAGTAATGAGCCTGGCGTCAAGAGATAATCCGAGTTCTCACTTCGTTCCGTATATCATTTTCTCCTGGGATGAAAGGGGAACGCTGACGACTGTCAGCGAGTACTCCCGGTGACTACCGTCAGTGACAGCAGTGATTGACGATGCCAGAGATGGACTGAGGGATGCGATCTACTTTCATCATCTTCAGATTTTTATTTCCGGCTTAATTGAAAGGCTACTTCAGGAGAATATATCGAATGAGAAGTATCGAAGTCCCGTTGGCATTGTCCTCCTTGTCCCATTCTATCTTCGTCCCATTCTATCCTCCCAGTCGAAGATTGGATAGAATAGATGAATTGTATCTCTCATCTTCATAGATGGAAGGTCGCTCAGATGGGAGGTCGTTCGGACGGAAGGTCGTTCGGATGAGGGGAGGCAAAACCATATTTACAATGGATTCGTGAAGTATCCAGATTGCATTCATAGAAGCAAATGTCACTCACTTACAAGACAATCAACTCTAAAATATGAATAATGAGTCGGTCGAACAATGATGCCCTTGTCGGCGAGAGTCAGGGCGGAAATGCCTCTGCCGAAAACTTTTTCATTTTTGCGGAAAACGAAAAGTGCATGAAAACTCAGGATATTATATTTGAAATTTATTTTTCAAATAAATTTCGTCCTTTCCTGGGAAAATAAATAAATTAAAACAAATAAATTTCCGTCCATTCATACATGTTACGTTCTGTTCCATATGAAGGTTCATTATTACAAGTTTAATATATTTTTGTTAGCGGAAAAGATTTTCTCCTCCCAAAAGTCTTGCTCACGTTATTCGGAATTTGGGGACTCGAGAATACGTGAGAATGAAATGCGAATTTTAAAAAATATTGCCCATCAGGATAATTATAATTTTCTTCCTAATGTGACAGAGGAAGATAATGTCGGGCTCTGTCGATACTCGACTGCGATTGCCAACATTTTTTGCTTTTGCGAAACATTGTCGAAAATGTTAATTTTAGCGGGAAATGGTCCAAATTTTTATTTCTCGCCGAAAGGTAGCGAAAATGGCAAAAATTATGCAGCACTACTAACAATAAAACCGTCATAATTAATTTCCACCAATAAAAATATCAAGTCTCACGATCGATGGAATATTTTGTTGCAATTGCTGCTCTCTACCTTTTATTTCGTCGGGCATGAAACACGCGATGATTATTTAATGATATCAGCCAATGTGAGCGCAAACATACAAGGGCTAATTTGCTGCTTAATCACGATCATTAAATAGTGATGGGTCTCGAGTCGATAACACCCGAAGCAAGGCCAGAGCGAATAGGAATGGATCTCCTCTGGGAGTGCAGGCTTTGAGGCGCCAATTAGGCTGAGAACCACAATGCCAAATCTTCCGCTGTCGCTGGGATCGATCTCTGACTCCCTTTTTCACTTCTCCCAAGCCATTCCAAGAACAGGGAAGAGATAAGATAGTTTGAAAGGGATTCCGGTTGCTCCCCGCCCCCCCTTCCCCCTTTCCCCCGGGATTTCCCCCCTTTTCCCCTCATTCCCTGCTTCGCGCGACTGTTTCGAACGTTTCGGAAAAATTGAATCGTTCTTCGAATATGATTCACAGTTGAAGACCACTTTGTCGATCGCTCGTATCTTTCAAAATGAGGATTTATGACAGGATAATCGTAATCTGAAGAGATTGCTACGTTTTTCGTTGCGAGGGTTCATCCATGTGCCTAAGTCTCTGCAGTCGAGAGCTAGATTTTTGGCATTCTGGAATGCCAGATATGGTGCAGTGCATATCCATCCTGTCCTCCTCATTTCCCCCCTCATAAAAAGTCGCTTTAGAATGAAGTATGGTTCTCTCAAAACCCGAAAATTTTCGGGGGAGGGAGAGGCCTTTCCCGAGAATGCGAGGATCACGCTGAGGGTTGCGGCGAAGGCGATCCGTGAAAGACGAGATTCGCGACTCTCAGAGCGATTACTGTATCTTCAGCCAGATTAAATTTCGGAGGATCTACAGAAAGCGGCATTCCTCCGTGTTAAACCCCACGCAATCACTCACGCCTCCAGTTTATGCATGGAATTGATTCGCTCATTTAAACTGGTGATGCACATGGAGTATTACGGCTGCTCCTATTGATGGATGCCTCTGATACAACAGAGAAGGGGAGAGCTAGCTATAATGAGGAATTTCCAGAATTTTCCAGGTTATTACCGCATCCCTTTGTGCGCCTCCTCTTCCAGATCCCCTCATCGAGGAAATAACTCCTTAACGAGTTGCTAGAGGATGTTCAAAAGTTCAAATGAAATGTTCTCTGTTTGCCACCGTGTCATCTTTTTCGGAATTTTTTTCGAAGCGGCATTTTATGCTAGAAAATATCCCAGACGTGGCAGGCAATCTCGTGAGCTATTTTCGTGCTGTTTACTACCTGTCCTCGCTGCGATTGTGTTATCGAGGCGAAGGAGATGCGCTCACTTATTAAAAAATGAAATCTAAGCTGGCAGGACTCGGACTCGTGTGCGAAACCTCGTGACATTGAGCTTGAACCGTGATTAATATGCGTCTGAATGGATCCTCCGGGGGGGGGGGGGGGTTGGGAGATGATGATGATGCCAGCTGGAACCTCTCCCGAAATGGAAACGAGAGAGACGAACAGGTTTTGTCCGCATCATCAATTCTTTTCCTTTTCACGATCTGAGTGCGAGGACGATGACAAAACGAGTCCACGCGACGCAAAACGATTCCCCCATTCACGTCACAGTGCCGCATCGGCATATCATTAGCATGAGAATATAGCTCATTAAGGAGTTTTTAGACACGGAATGATCATCCCTAAACTGGAGGTATTTCTTCCCCCCCCCCGTCCCCCCCCCCCACACCCTTCCCCACTTTCTCCATCTCTCCGTTCCTTTCCATGTGATAGTGGTGATTTGATGCCTAGGGTGAGCACAGCTTCCTACGTAAAGCCCACGTAATAGAAATTGGCTCATCTCCAACGTAAATACTGACTTAGATGGGATTCAGCACGGTATAGAAGGAATCCAAACGGTCCTAGGGCTACCGTATTTAGTCCTAATTCTACAGGTACTTATAGGATGCACCGCTTATCTTTGGGGCGGATCACGCTTCGCCAGGAAGGAACGTACGCCATCGTCAAATATAAACAAAAAGTGGAAATACTCAGCACGAAAACAGTTTTGGTAGAGAATTCCAATTTCGATATGTAACAGTTTCCATTGTATGGTTCCATCGGAAGAAATTGAGGTCATGATGGGGGAAGTCTCCTAAATCCATTACGAATGTTTATGCATCGTGATTGATTTTTCTGCGGTGGAAGACGTTGATATATTGTTAGAAATATCGATTATTTAATCATGGTGAGAGTTCCGTGGCATCTTTCTAGGCTATTTGACCTTCGTCCCCGAACGCAAGACTCAAGGTCACGTCGCAAAAGGCCTTGAACCGAACTGAAAACGTGACGAGGAAAACGATGAGAATCCACGATAAGCTTTTTTTTAATGAGGAATTTTTGTCGTTTTCCCCTTCATGGCTTCGAGTTGATATCGTTTTCGATGCGACTATAATTTCTCGGAACTGCGAATCGAAGGTCCATTTCCCCTTCGCGGAATCGAGAAGCGGAAGAACTTATGCTTTAATTCTTCAATAATTGCGATGTACTTCACGAATCAGGAGAGGCAGGGTTTAATTCTCCCATTATGATAATGCGATACAAATGCACGAGTAGAGACAGACGGCGCGAAGAACGGTGTTGATACCCGAAGACGATCGTCTCGAACGACGATCTGGTCCCCAAACAAAGGAGAAGAGGGAAGTTTGCCGAGCTTTTATTCTCGAGGGCCTTCATCCAGGCAAGCAGCGAGAACCTATGCGAGGGAGAGCGAAGGGGAGCGAAGGGGAGCGTCATTAGGGGAGATGATAAACGCGGAAAGTTGGCTGCTAATGAGGTAATTCATGATGCGGTGGATGCCATCCGAATGCGAATTTCATGCGGTTCTCGTAGCTCACCACTTCATTTTATACAGGGTCTTCCAAAATAAAGATTCTCGTCGCTTCAGGGCGACATTTAGCGCGTCGCTGCTGCGTAGCGAAGCACGGGGATCCCAAGGGGGAAATTTCCCTCAGATTTCCACGAGACCTTAAATTATACATTTTCTGAAATAAAGACTTTCCCGATCACCGATTAGAAGAGGCAACCTATACAAACCATTTTCTGAGAACTAACAAGGGGGTCACTGAAAACAGCATGTACAAGGTGTCCCATAAGTTTGAACCCATAGGGCTATCTTAAGACAAAACTTTACCAGTAAAAATTCGAGTGACACAACTTATGGAAATTAACTTATTTATTAACTAAAATTATTACTTCTATCCAAATATGAAGTCCCAAAGGCAGTGTCGATCCGAATCTTTGATGGCTTTGAGGTAGCCCTTCGGGTCCAGACTTTTGGGACACCCTGTATAGACAGTACCTTTCAATCCTTTCTCGGAGGCAGCGTCGACAGTGACGCATGCCAGAGTCGAGTGGATTCAGGGAATATTCGTTTCTCGTTCCGCTCCCAGCCGACGAGGTGACGGCGGGGCAATAGTTCCGTCGGACGTTGAAAAATGGCGCGGCTGCTGGGGATTCTCGAATGGAGTCTCGTGCGACAGCTCTTTAGTCTTCCTTTATTGGAAAATGCTCGTTCTGGTCGAGGGCCTGCGGCATTTCCATTCGGCGGAACTGTTACCGCGCGAACAAATCACGAGATGACCGTACAAGTAGCCCCATGACTGTCAACAATTCTCCCTTTTTCATGGTAAACCGAAGTCCTAGGGGAACATTTTATGGTGCCACTCGCTTTATGCTAGATGGGTCTATCGAGGGGAAAGAATGAGAAACTAGGGATAATTTTCAGAATTTTCCATAACTTTCAGAAACATGTCACAATTAAGCTAGGATGATATGATACGATATGATATTCACTCGAGCCCTTGATAACGCAGTGGCGGTCTGTATTTTATTATTACTTCAGAATGTGCTAAATCACTCAACCTACTAAATTAAATGCCAAGAAAGTTTAGAAGACCCTATCGATGGGAGGAAATTCCAATTCGCACAGATTCAGTGCGAGACCCCCCCAAAAATAATCCATCTGCAAGCAATGCCATTGACAACGATATCGTACGAGCTCGTTAAATTGACAGGCTCCGCTCACCGCCTTTGTGGGAGTCGGAAGGAATGTCATCGTTAAGCCGCCTTCTTGAGATTCGGCAGGAAGGCTGAATTGGCTCCATTGATCTCGCGGACCCCATCGGTCATTACCGCTTCGGCTTATAATTTTCCAGTTTTATGATCTTTTTAATTATCTTTTCTTGTGCCATCCGTGTTCTCCTTGCTCGCCCAGATTGCAGCTCGGCAAACTTATTTCCTTTCTACCCCTTTATGTTTTATAGAGAGCCAATCCTCTGTTTTACAGCTTCATTAAATGAGTTTGTCACAGAGCAAAACGAGGGCGAAAAATTAAGCATTATGCAGATGACGTACTATTTTCTCTTAGAGTGTCTAACGAGACTTTCCCTTCCTGACGGATTAAACTAAATTTGGATCTTCGGATTGCAAGGTCGACGAACTCACGGTTTCATCGACTTCACGAATCCGTTTTTTAATCGTATTTATTTAATTTGCAGTCGTGGTGCTGTGTGCGTCGCCGGATCGAGTTCGCAGCATTCTCCTGGCGGCGGAGGAGCTGAAGATGATGGAGAAAGGGGAATACGTCTTCTTCAACGTCGAGCTCTTCCTCAGGTGAGAAGTAATGAAATGTTGAGGAAGGCCTTTCTATCCCACACGTTCTCATATCGACGGGTGGTGGTAATGAGAATGTCATCGGCTTCGCGTGGTCCTCCCTATGTCCCTATATTGCGTATAATTATCGTTCCTTCATGAAGACCGGGGATGACTCCCTTCCTCCTCCGCATTTTCCTTTTCTTCCATTATGAGGCCGTCGCTCGAAGCCCTGGCTTGGAGCCCTCTCTTCGACCCCTCTTCGAGCCCAGCTCGAGGCCTTCCTCGAAGCTCTATCTTCGGGCCTGCAAGGGGGCCTCTCTCTCCGATGGAAAAAAGAAATAAAATAAAATCAGTTAAAAGCGCAAGTTCGCTTCGGAGTTTTTATCTTGTGGGAATGGGGCCGTCTGTTCTTTTCTCGGGAATAAATGCGACCATGCCACGTTCGATTTTGCCGGCAACCTTGAAGGATGAGACACCAGGGAGGATTCTCGGTGGCTTCTCGGTGGCTTCTCGGAACGCGAACCGTCAGAATAGTTAAACGCTCTCACGTTTAATCCATATTTATATGGATGCGACGCTTCCCACGCCTTTCCTGGAACCATTTCGAAAGCAACGAGCTCCATCGGTGATGGCCCTCGATAGCCCTCGATAACCCTCGATGACCCTCGATGTCTCCCGATGGCCCCTCGTCACCGTCTGACACGAGCTGTTCGCAAGGCCCTCGCCGATTCCGCAATTCGATGAGCGAGAAACGTTCCTTCCGCTTTTCATGCGAGTCGGACCCTCTCGTGGAAGGACCGCGAAGGTGAACTTTTCTTTCACACACAGATTTCCAAGTAAACTCTTTGAGGGGGGAGGGGAAGGGGGAGGGGAAGGGGGAGGGGGAGGGGGCGGGGGCGATCGATGGAGAACCTGTCGATGGGCGGAGGCAAAACTCCCCTAATTGCGCCCCTCGACGGCTCAAAAGCGCAAAATTTCTTCATTTCTCTCCCCTTTTCCTCTCGACGGGTGTTGATTCGGGGAGGTCCGACGAGTTAACCGGTTTAGCATCGATTCATGGATTCATTGATCTAGCCCACGTTTCCCCGAGAGGACCTGCAATGCGGAGATGGGCTTCGCTGGGAGTGGTTCTTTCGAGGATCCGTGGGGATCAATTTCGATTTCAAAAGTTTGCATTCTCCATCTCGAGCATTTCTTTTGCGCTTCGTAATGAGGTGTCACGGGCGCCTTCTTCTTCACAATAAATTAGAACTCGGAGAGATGAGATATGAAATAACCCCCTCCCGATCTTCCTTCGATCTTCTTTCTTCGCGTTTGAAAGGCTCTTGGTTTTGCATGAAAATCGGGGGGAGATAGGGGGAAGGGGGTGGAAGGAGATGAAGCGTGTCATCAATCTGCGTCGAAAATCCCCGAGTCCGAATTTCTCGCATCTGGTTCCCGGATTCGGAAGTGACTGGACTCTGTCGGGACCTGGAATGGGAACCTGGAATCCGGAAGGGGGACCTGGAGCCTGGGATGAGAATCTGGAGCATGGAATCTCATCCTTAAATATTTTTTCTGCTTCTGTGAAGCTCATAGCCAGCAAGATGCACTGGTCTCCTGAATTATTTACGGCTTGCTCTAACTTTCGCCCATAATTTATTCGGTAGACGCGTTGTGATATTGGCTGCGATGAGAGACATTCATGAGACGAACTTATCCTTATTTGGAATCAGTGAATCATGGATCATTGCCATGAATGCAGGCTGGAGAACTTGAATTATTTCGTTCCCATGGTACCGGCGCAGTCATCGTTTGGCAGGCTTTACTGTTGGGCTACTGCTAGCCAAGGGAAACATTCATTGCATTATTTATTGAATTTATTTTCGGAAAGACGAACTATAGGTTCTGTTCATCCTTAAACCATCGAAGGAGTCTCGTCGAGATTCTGGTTGACAAGGAAATCACCTGCAGTCACTACTAGATGCCAAATATGTTGCCTAGCTGGCATTCCGTGACAGTTCTCATGCTGGAGCATGTGTCCTATGAACCATGGGGAATCGGGTTCAGAACTGATTCCGCTGGCCCGTCTCGATCGATTCATCACTGACTGAACGGGTTGATCGATTGATTCTCAACCCATTCGGTCTCTACCCATTCTTAACACGACGACCTCTAATCGTTCGACTTGAATTTTTTTATTATTAGTAGAATGATGCTTTCTACAAGAAACGGACAGTTTGAAACATAGACGGTCTCGTTGTCGCTGACTTGTGAAGTAACGAGCTGTGCGTTGCATGATATAGGTCTGGATTGGAGTACAAGCCGTGGTTCGACCCCAACGACGAGAAGAACAACGAGAGAGCGAAGCAGGCGTACGAGGCCGTCCTCACCGTCACTGCCCGCACTCCCACGACCCCCGAGTACAAAAACTTCTCCGACATGGTGAAAAAGTACGTTTCATTCGACCGATTTCGTCCCGCGACCGTCTCGGCATCCCTCTTTCCGTCCTTTCTCCTGACGTCCCTCTTCCCCGTGCGCAGCTTGACCGTGGAGCGTTCGGGGATGGAGTACGAGGAGGACACGGTGAACACGTTCGTGGCGGCGTTCCACGATGCCGTCCTTCTCTACGCCCACGCGCTGAACGAAACCCTCAGGGAAGGCGGGGACGTGACCAACGGATCGGACATCACCCGTCGCATGTGGAATCGCAGCATCGAAGGCATCACGGGGACGGTGAGCATCGACGAGAACGGGGACCGCAAGGCCGACTACTCCCTCCTGGACATGGACCCAAAAACGGGCGTCTTCCATGTGAGGATCACGCGAAGGCACGAGATGAGTCCCGGAGCGGAATGAATGAGATCCTCCTTTTCTTCTCTGTCTTGGAGGTGGTGGCCAATTACTTCGGGGTGACGGGGGAGCTGAAGGACGTGGAGGGGAAATCCATTCATTGGGCCGGAGGAAGGGATTCCCCCCCGCCCGATACTCCTCAGTGCGGATTCGATGGATCCCTCTGCCCCGACAAAAGTCTCTTTCTCGTCTCTGCTCACCTCCTTCCCCGCTCGAATTAGAAGAGTAAATAGCGTCGGTCGAGAGTCTCTCGAGTCTCTCGAGCGGGAGACGATACTCGCCGCGTAAATGAGGAAATTCCGCCCGATTCGCACCGAATGCAGACGGCATCGGAAACGAGGATCTCGCAGAGTAGACGGGAAATCCATAAATATATAATGACCTCAGCTTCTGCTTGTCTAGTGCACGGAACGAGAGAGAAGAGGAATTTTGTTTCCTTCTCCGGGGAAACGCCAAGAACATCAGTCGCTCTTTGGAAGAGAATCGGTCGAGAGGCAAAGAAAGCCGGAAGTTGCGAGACTTTCGCTCGTGCAAATGGCTCTTTTCCCCCGCGTAACTTCCTAATATGTTTTTCTGAGATTGCTATCTCAGATAACGACGATGATTTTTTTCTCGGAGCACCTGTCAGCCGAATCCTCCTCGAATGCAAGAGGAGAACGGTAATGAAAATGGAATGGGGCCTGGAAATGGCACCGGAAACGCACGTTCAGCTTGGGATGAATGCGAAACGTCACCGCATGCTCTTTTCTTTTTTTTTTAATGAATTCATTTTGATCAGCAGTTTCATTTTCCCGTCCTCGAAAGATGAAAGAAGAAAATGTAGTGGCTCTCTCACGAATGAATCGACGTGGAAGCCAGTCTCGAGCTTCGATCAGGAAAAATCCAGGACGCCTCAATGGAAAAAAAACCGCATTTCTTTCCGTTTTCAATAATTTTAAGAGTGAGCACGCGGAATCGAGAGAAATTTTCTCATTCGCTTCTGTTCGTTCCCTTTCGCTAAAAATGAAACGTTGGCGTCAGTTCGTGCAATGCTAGAACATGGCCGTTCAAAACCGAGCGATCAGAAGACCGATTCGCGCACTTTATTCTTACCAAAAAAATTATGAAAGAACTCGACCGAAAGATAACGGCATTTTCAAGGCCTTTCCCTTCGGAGAATTTTACCTGGAAACTTTCCTGAGGTTAAGCAATCAGCGAATTACCGATAGAAAATTAGGGAAATTGTATTATCACGCGTTGCTGAAGCTTTCGATACCGTTCTTCGCCGGAGCACGGGCTGAATCCAATGCATATGGGATTCCACGTAACGCGATTAAAAGGATGAGTTCCCGGAAAGAGACGAGAGAATGGAAATGGGGAAGTCGGGGCGAGAGTGGCGGGTGTCCTCTAGGGCCTCCAGTCCTCCAAGGCCTCCAGGGTCCCCCAGTCCTCTAAGGCCTCCAGGGTCCCCCAGTCCTCCATCTCGCCGGCTCTTTCTCCTTTTGCATCAATGATTTAGGTCGAGTCTTCGTGGGTTAAGTAAGTGAATTTGAAGACGCGGAGGTAGGTTTCTCCGTCACGGGGAAGCTGCGGGGCGAGAGTCGCGGAAGACACAACTTTTCCGGAACGAAAAGACGGAATGAAGCTCACGAGCTCCGGCAAGAGAAAATGTTGAGTTGTTCACATTGGCCCCGGTGACGACGAGCCTCTGAACGCGCTCCATGGTCATGGACATGGTCATGGACAAGGTCATGGACTTCGTGAAGAGAACGCAGAGAGAGAGATTTTGGGGCGATACGTGATGAGGAAACTCATTCGTCCGTGCAAGTGCGCCAAATCCTAGGCTAAATGAAAGAGGATTTCCTTGTATTATTACTCGGAATGGAATGCAGAATCCTGGATTCTTTTGCCAGTTGGAACCAGCTCGTTATTCTTTCGTTGTATGACGTCGGTCTGGCCCCATCTAGAGCGTGGTGTTAAATATTGCAGACCGACCGATGAAATGGATATGATGGCGTTAAATGTGTCGAGAGGCGGGTTCATGATGGAAATAATTAAAAGGGGGAACAAGATTTCATCCAGTCGTAAAACATCTTCAAAGACATCGATGACGCGGAGAGAGGTAGATTTTTGGAACTCGATAGCAGCAGCAAAATGGGGGAATGGGGGGGGGGGGGAAAGGGGGGGGGAAGGGGGGGAGGGACCGGGTCGGGTTTCGTAAGCCTCTAGTGAGACTCAAGTGACAGAATCAATTATTTTACTCGNTGTCTGTTGCTAAACAGACAACACCGAGGCTACATTGCCAAAGTTTGCGAGGGACCGGTTCGAGTTTCGTAAGCCTCTAGTGAGACTCAAGTGACAGAATCAATTATTTTACTCGTCCGTTTGTGAATGCGTGGAACGCCATAGGTTATGGATGTGCTCTCTCCCCTTCAGTAGCTTTAACATGTTACATGCTTTCATAGATGATTTTAAAAAGCGAGCGATGAAGCTATAATAAACTAATGGTAGATCGAAGCATGTTTATCTTGCTTCGGACAGGCCAATCTTGAGAGAACGCCAGATCTCGATTCGGGATTTCCGTATTGGCAGATGCGTCTCGTGACTTTCCGACTCGAACCTTGAACCTTGCAAACTTTGGCAATGTAGCCTCGGTGTTGTCTGTTGCTAAATTTCAGGATTGAAAACCCCTCGCATGTCCGTTTCAAGATTGAACGCGCTAAAAAGCGAATGAATCCCTTACCCTTACCTTTAAATGGTCGTGTCTTCTAATTTCGTAGAGCTAATTTGAAGTTTAAAAAATGAATTTGAGGGAACAGGAGTGTGAATGTGAGAGTAAAGTTTCAGCTAATGCCTTGCACTTAAAAAAAAAAGTAAAAATTTTAAAGATGGTCTGGCTTTCATTACGACACTTCGTATTCATCCCAAGGGTTGAACGAAAGCTAATGAAAACGTTTTAAATTTCCATTTACGAAGTAATATTCAAAAGTAAAGGGACAAACGTGATTCATAGGTATATGTGTGATACAGGTAACTTTGGGGTGATTACTTTTCCATCCGATCTGTCGAGACTGTGATGCACTCGTTGCACTGGTGAACCAGTTTCCTTATGACGTAAATTGTTGCGCGAAATGGCACACATTCCCCTTTTCACTCCATCATCGTTCGTGCTTTGCCGCCCTCAAAGGGCGACATTAGTGAGACAAAGAGATGGAAATGCGGGGCGCTAGATCCGGATTCAATGGTGAATGGGGTGACACCTCCGATGCACGAGGTGGCACCTCCCACGAATGGAGTAACACCTCCAACCCCTATTCATCGATGCTCTGGAATGTTGCACTTGCGGAAACGTGGCCTTGCACGGTCGTACGGCAGTGACGAGCCGAGTGTCGACAGTCGACGTCGCTTGCTGGGAATAGCGGCTTCATGTTCCATGCAAACCAAATTTTGATCGGATGGTTCACTTGTGATGATGGTGTTCTTCGGTCGGAAGTGGACCGCGATCACGCCACTCCAGCCCCCTCAAAAATAGTTGCAGTGACCTTGCTCTTCCAATGCGCTGTCGTTAGTCGATGCTCCTAACATGTTTGATTCCGATGATATGGATCGCTGGGTTCCCTCATTGCGGTCAAACGGGATAGAACGTTGCAGAGATCATTTCTGACGATACGATCTGCATTTCATTCTTGTGTCCACCGCATAGCCGATTGGAGCTACTTGTCCCTTCTGGGAGAGAATGTCCCCAATGTATATTTAGGTGGTACAAAAATTATATTTGGGGTGTTATCTCCTGCCACTTAAGTCCGGTGAACTTCACTAAAAAGCGGCGACTTACATTTGCCATTGAATTATTGCTTCGATTTCGGTTTGATTTGTGGCTTTTTACCCCCATCAGATAAGGAAGAGAATGATGGATGGATAATGATGAATTCTCTTGCAGCTTTCCCGAACTACGCGATAGTGATCATCGTCCTGGGAGCCTTCGTCATCCTCCTCTGCGTCGCTTCCTTCTTCATTTATAGGTTTTTTTTTTTCGTCTTCATCTATATTTAAATTTACTCATAAACGGCTACGAGACTCTCGTTCTCGGAATTCCTGAAATTGGTGTGTTTTCTGCCGAAGGCATTATAAGTTGGAGGCGGAGTTGGCGTCGATGACGTGGAAGGTGACCTGGTCCGACATTTTAGACCCGAATTTCTCGGGAAATTCGGAGAGGAAAGGGGGCAAACGGACTGGAGGAGGGGGAACCGGATCCAGACTCAGTCTTTCACCTGTACTTTTCCTTTTAAGTGTATCGTTCGTCTCGCCATCAATTATTCTCGTCATTTAACCTTTTTGTATCGGTTTAGAGCCTGATTTCGGCAGATACGGTCGCCTGGGAGGAAATGAACAAGAATTATCCTTCCATCAAAACCGGGATTTACAAGGTTCCTCGAGCTTCCTTTCACTTTCGAGCCGCGATAAAGAAAAGAAATGAAAATGAATCTCGTGTCACAGGGGACGATCGTGGCGATAAAGAAGATCAAGAAGAATCGGATCGACATAACACGTTCTCTCTTACTGGAACTGAAACGAGTGAGTGGATGTGTATACATTCTCGTTCTGAATCCCCCTCGTGCATGCTGCTGGAACAGCTGACGAACGAGGAGGAAGAAAACGACCGGATAACATTCGGTATGATAGAACCGTCTGCACGCATGGCTTGGAAAAATAAACATCTCGAGCTCGGTTTCGGCACGGTTGTAGCCATGGAATTGCTTCTACGCTGATTCGTGCACGCAATCACATGAAAGGGGGAAATGAAAGCGGGAGAAAGGTCTATTTCTTTCCCTTTCTTTTCCTCTTTCATCCGGAGCAGTCTTTCTCGAATCGGGGTTATTCCATTATGGGGGAGGAGAAGGGTCCTTTGCGAGGGAGGCCCTCTCCAGATTAATGACGGAACTCCGTGAGAGGTAAAGAGGGATGGAATTGGGTTGCAGATGAAGGATCTGCACCACGACCACCTGGTGAGGTTCATCGGAGCGTGTGTGGACGCGCCGCACTGTTGCATCCTCACCGAGTACTGTCCCAAGGGGAGCCTGGAGGACATCCTCGCGAACGACCAGATCAAGCTGGATTGGATGTTCCGGTACTCGCTCATGCACGACATCGTCAAGGTCTGTCGTCCTTTCTTTTACGTTCTTCTTGGAGTCCATTTGTTCGGATGGGGCGAGGGAGGCTCTCCTCATCGTTTCCGTCTGGAGGTGTTTATTCAAGAATTCCAGAGGGAAGGAAATCGTACAAAATGTAATTACGTTCGTCTTAAAGCAAAGAGGGGAAAGGCAATGCAGGATGGGCTCAGAATTCCACGAGATCCCGGGCGAGATAGACAGGCGGGAAAGGGGAGGGGGAGGGGGGAGGTGGGGAGGGGAGCCTTTTCATCCGTGAATGGCTTCGTTGAAGACGAATTGCTGAGATGAAGGGGTGGTGAGATCGTCCACGAGGGCGCGGGAGAGGACTTCGCATCGAGGGGGGCACGGCGGGGTGATGCATCCACTCTGACACACTTGACCCGAAGGACACGAGAATCCGCGACACGGGTCTCCTATTTCCAGGTCCAAAAGATGCATTGAAAACGTGGCTAAATAGGAGAAGAATAGACGAGCTTACCCGCGTTGCAGAGGCACCGGAGACATCCGTTCGCGTCTCGGATGAAGTCGACCGGACACACGTCGGGGCAGAGGGGGTCGGGGCATCCACGGGGCACGCACACTCCTTGCCCTCCCGCATACGCGCACCTCTCTTCTCCGTGACACGATTCGATCTGTTGCGACGAGAATGAAAAATGGGAGAGAGAGCTCCGAGCTTTCATCTCGCGAAGAGAAAAAGAGGGATCGCGCGGGCGGGGACGTGATCGGGAAGAGAAAAGAGGGAAGTCCGGAAACCCTGGAATTGGGAGCGGAAAGAACAATAAAAGTAATGCGTCCCCGGGTCGGGAAGCCTCGCTAAAATACGGCGATCCGGAATCGTTAGGACGGGTGTCCGGAGGGAACGGAATGGGTTCGGCTCGGATCACCTCCGACTCTCGGCAGACTCTCGAAACGGAGAGGCTCTGTTGATTCTATTCTCGACACGTTCCGGAACGTCATCGGGAAACGAGGGAACGCAATCCCCATTTCTCCTTTTTCTGTCTCTCCTCCTCGGCGATATTTCCTCTTTCCTCCGGGACTCGTGCAACCGGTGCCCCGACCCGACGAGGAATCGTTACGGGTTCGCTTTATTCCTCGTTCGAAAGCGTTTTGCCGAAGTTCGTGAGACGGTTCCATCAATCCGTCGTAGAATCGAATGAAACGTGACGGGTTTGCAAAGGAAAGAGAGAGTGTCGGAGCGAGAGAGAAGGAATGACGGCGAAGGCCTTATTCGTAATAAATGATCTCGTTCGTTCTGGGATCTCTCTGGGATCACGCGTGGGATCCCGATTCAAAGTTTCCCCAATACTCCTCATCCTCCCCAGTCTCCCGATCCTCCCCAGCTTCCCCACCTCCCCAGCCTCCCCATCCTCCTCATCCTTGATTCATCGAGCCTCTCCCTCGATATCCCCGAAGCGGAAAGCGACGGGCTCGACGCACCCCGCATGCGATGGAGCCGGGTTCGCCGTCCCGGTCGCAGTTGCACGAGGGACAGAAGAAGCCGAGCATCCCCGGGCGGACGGTGCACCCGTCCGGGCACCGCGGGGTGGGGCATTCCGAGGGCACGCACACCTCTTGGCCTCCCGACACCACCTCGCATCGAGATCTCGGCCGACACTGCATCTGAGTAGAAGAAAAGTCGAAAAGAGAAATTAACGATGGGAGCCGTTCATTCCGACGATGTTCTATGGATTACGGTGACGAGAAAAAGATGATGCGAAAGTGAAGAAGCAGAGCGACGTCCTACTTAGTAGCGAGCCTCCTTTCGGCGCACCGTTATGGATAATACGAGCTAAATATCTCTTATTCTGACGCATTTCCTTCGACACAACCATTTCGGACGATACAGGCGAAATAGAGTTTGAGTTGGCCTCAGCCAGAAGATCGAATGGAATCACGATGTTCACGACCCTCTCTGTCGTTTCGTCTTCCAAACGTATTTCTCATGAAATTTCTTATTGCTTTATAATTTCTCGAAAGCCAGATCGACGTTAGATTTACCACATAGAGTTGGGTCAAGTTCGAGGTTTCGGTAACGGTCGATGCAATACTAGCGGTGATGTGAAAGCGTCGAGGAAAATTTCATGCATGCACAAAGACAGAGACTGAGAGAAATTCCGGCAATTTCATCATGGCCCCCATTTTCTTTTTAATCTAAGGAGAGGAGGCTCGCTTAAAATGTAAAAATATGTATCGAGATGGAGGCAGGGGTGGGAGCCACACGCGAACGACATCTATGGATGCGGCGCGGAATCGGGAAGAGTGAAGAAGGTACCCGGCAGGTGGCGGTGGGGCAGGAACACCTCGGACATGCGCCGTTGAGGCGATTCTCGATCCGACAATCCTCGGGGCAGTCGACGCTGGGCGGGGGACACCCGAGGGGGATGCACACTTCCTCTCCGCGGATGGACATGCACTCCGATCCGCGAGGGCATTCGTCGTCCTATCGAGACGAGTCCGAATTCGTGTAAGGCGCGTTCAGAAGAGAGATTTTAGAGGGAATATTCCTTTTTGACGACGTACCCGACATCGGAACGGAGACGATTGAGGGACGGGGATGGGTCCCCCCGAAGTCAAAGGTTGTGCGGAAGGACTCGATAATCCGGGGAAATTCTCCCCCAGCCCCCGGATCCCCGCCGAAACCCCTTCACTTGCTGGCAGTCTCGAAATCACGTTTCCTCCATTTGCTGTCGCATCGGAAAAAAGTAACAACTCGGATTCCAGTGGTCAAAAGAGTCGAGAGCGAGGTTGAAACGAATGAGAGGAATGGGACTTTACGCCGGAAGTTGGGGTCTCCGAGCGGCATGGGGCAGGTGCAACGAGGGCAGAGAATCCTTCGTCCCGCGTTCTCGTACATGGTGTAAAAGCATCCCTGGGACTCGGGACACGGCGCAACGAAGCACAGGGATGCCACGCATTGAAGCTCGCCGTCGGCGACGAGGCACCGCGGGTATTGTGGCGGGCATGCCGCTCTCTGCGAAGTACACGAGCATCCGTCATGGATCTTTCGCTCCGCTCCGACCGAATTTACCGTCTTACGAGTTCATGCCTCCGATCGTGCCTCGGGAGGACTCACCTGGCATGCCATGAAGGTCGACCGCTCCGAATCGGAAGGGAACTGGGAGAAGAGAAAATTGTGTCTTCCTCTTCGAGGCGGAAACCGAGTGATGGTGATCCCCTCTCGATCGGGAGGGAAGGCTCGAAAACGCGGAAAGCCATTTCCTCCCTCCGGCGGACTCCATGCTTGCGGTCGGTCGAAACCGAAGATGCGAACGCGCTCGAGATCCCTAAAGGCCTGCTGGCGACCGGCCAGAAGCTCCGATCGTGGGTGTCCGTGGACGAAGGTCTCGCCTAATCTTTCCGTCAATTCCGTTGAGTTCACTTTCATCTCCTGGCTCAGCACTGAGGATTAACGAACGCATTTATTGCCGTGCTGCTTGCTGTGGAATCATTCACGCTTTGTTTTTGACTCTCGTTCGAGGGACTACCAGTTGTAAAAATACAAATAATTTAATTTTATGAATCATGCTATAAGGTACGTTCACATTTCTTATCGCTTATGTTTTAGTCGAAGTGGAGATATTAAATAAATAAATTGACCCCATGCCAGCAGAGACCAGCTGTAAATATGATATATTTGTTCACTACAGACTGGATTCAAGGTGAAATTTCAGGCTTTTCTCTTGGTTATTTAAAGCTATCACTGTGACTTGGGGTATGTCCCCTCGGACCTTGCTGTCCAGTCTACATTGCCAGTAAAAATTAATATTACAAAAATAAAGATTATTGAGGGACACCTTTTCAGGTTAATTTCTGCTGCTTCAATTTTTATTGTGGAACATAGCAACACAACGGACACACTCGACTCGATATACTCAAATTTTTTCCTCATTTAGTAGTTTTTACGTTTTATTTAAAAAATTAGACGTTTTTGCACTAATTTAATTTCGCTCATTGCTCCTCATAATGTATTTGCATGTGTAACAAACAACTCTGTATAACATGGAGAGTGACAGCGCAGATTTATTCTATACGAAGTACTGTTTTTGTGTACTATTAGCACAGTCTTTAAAACACTCTAACGAGAGCTGTCACCGAAATGTATGACCCAGAGTAAAATAGGTTTTTGCAGAATAACAAAAACGGCGCAGGCGTCTGCCCGGATAGTCATAGTGATGAAGTAAAATGGGATTGTTTGGCAAATGAGAATCCATACACCTTCCCCCTAAAGAATATCCAATGACAGACGCCGGAAATTTTATATTCATTCTGAATGCATTGCATGCATAAAAGAAGAGGAAAAATGAAGAAGAAAGACTCATGGCAATCATTCATCTCCCTTGTCTCTTCCGTAGCCCCCTGATTCCCTCCCCCTCCTTCCCCTTGCCTCCCTCCCCCTCCTTCCCCCTGCCTCCCTCCCCCTCCTTCCCGCCTCCACAGAGATAATTGAATATGGAGACTTGAGACAACCGCACGTTCATTAATTAAAAAATTCGCCTTATTTTCCCACTCCGCAAATATTCTCTTTGAGAAAAGATCTCGTCGAGAGGTGAAAGTCCGAGGAGGTTTCTCTAAGGTTTCTCTAAGGGATGGAGGATGCGTTCCACCATCGAAGTTGCTTCTACGGTAATTGAGAATCTCAGCCCGTTTAACATTCCATGTAGTTCTCTTTTCCACCGAGTGCACCTTTTGTTGTCTGAATCCATTTATGCAGTCCGTCAGTTTAGAGGCATTCCGAATGGAGCAACATTTTTGAATGATTAAAAAAAAAGAAACATTTTGCGAGAGAGGGAAGAATACTCACCGTGAAGAATAAACAATAGTAAGATGGGAAAGGCACGGATGGACACGCCTTCCTTCATCGTCTACCCGGGCAATTAAGAGTCGAGATGAGATGTGGGAAGGGCTGATGTCCCTCTACGACTGACCTTATTCTTGTTCCCCGCAAGGGCCATAAGAGAGTGGGGGAAGTTATCAAGGACACCGGATCCTCACGCAGAACCTTCTCGTCCCATCTCTTAGATCCATCTCGTTTCTCCTCGAGGATCTTTTCCTTTCCTGTCGCGCTGATCCTTCCCGTTACGTATCGCGGATCGTATTCTTTCCCGTTTCGCGGATCTTTTTCCTTCCCATATTCCCGTTCTCGATGAGTCTCGATGAGGGTTCCTTCTTTGCGATTTTTCTGCATTACTGTTTCATTGAGCCGCCGAGTGGATCATTCTTGTCAGATTATATGAAGTCAAGATGGAAAATTTCGTTGTCACAAAGAAGTCTCTTCATCGCGAAACCATGGAGTCCTGTACATTCCTGGCATTTTCCCCTTTTTTTCTTCCGTGCGAGGGACACCGAATTGTTGTTCCCATAATGGTCATACTGCCTCGTATAGTAGATGCAATGACGATGCATGGAAGACGAGGAAGCGGAACTCGGGGTTCCCTTAGAACCCGGAAGGAAATTCGGGGATTTCCTTTTCTTTCCCCCTTTTTTTCTCAAGGGCGCTTCTAATCCATTGGATCCTCCATCTCTTTGGACACGCAACGAACGGTGAATCACCGGATTCCCACTCCTTCCTTCCCATTACCATCGCTCCATAAACGTCTCCTACGCACCTCATTCATCTATGTTATTTTTTAAATCTCTCAGTTCGCCAGAGTCGGGTCAGAGGTGATCTCGTCTCCAATAAAATGACGCAACGCCTTAGTACGCGTCGGATTAGCATCGAATGGAATGGGAAACCATGCTGTCCTGCGTAGTGCCTCGCTCACTTCCTCTCTTTTTTTTCCGTCTCCCCGATTACGATCTTTCTGCTTCGCCGTTTCCGACAAAAGCACTCGGCGGTTCATTCCAATTCACTTTAGAGGGGCAATCGGGTCAATGTCGTCTCCGATCCTCAAAGCTCTTTATTTTTTTTTCATCCCTCCCATCCGTTTTTGTTCCGGCGAAGGGAAGGCGAGGAGGGAGAAAAGATTGGGAAATCGGAGTCCGGGATTTGGACGAGCCGACCGACAATATTGAAAATCTCCCATGTTATTTGATCGGCTTGGAATCCTTTCACGTCAAAATAACAAAATCTCGTATAAATTTCATCATCCTCCTTTCGTTCGACTTATTTAAAGCTTCCGTCGATACGAGAATCTTCTCCCGCTGAGATTTCCCCTCACAATACTTTGTTATTTTCTTTCCTGGATTAAAAAAAGAAAATGTTTATTTCAGGGGATGGCGTATCTGCATGCGAGCGAGATCCGTTCGCACGGCAACTTGAAGAGTTCCAACTGCGTCGTGGATTCCCGATTCGTCTTGAAGGTCACGGATTTCGGAATCCACAGCCTGAGACAGAGCGACAAAGGAGGATCTCATTCCTGGAACGGAGACGAGGACGAGGAGGACACCTACGCCTACTGGCGGAGTCAGTTCAACCTTACTTTCCCCCTTATTGTACAGATGGTGCCACCTGTTCTGTTCGTCTCTGATTCCTTCTCGCTGGAAAGCTACCCGTGACACCTGTTCGATATGGGTTCGATATGGGGATTAGTCTAGAGCTTGTACGTGTGTTCTTTCGGATGGAAGGAATTTCATGACTTACCTAATTCTTTATGCCATATTTTACTGAAGACAATCGAAAGATTGTATGGATTCTGTCTACGGAGTAGCCATGGGGTTACATAAGCGTTCCCGTTCCGTCTTAATATCGCTAGCACACAGTGACGTAAGTGGTGTACCAAGAAAGGATAGGGAAGGGATAATGAGGAAAAGGGTGCTGCGATGAATCGATGCGAGGAATAACGATGACGCGAAAGAGAATTCGCAGAAACAGGAGGGAGATACACACCCCGATAGGCTGATGGGAGGTCATTAAAATAAGGAAATTTTCCTGCTGTCTCGGTAGTAGCATGTGTCTGCCTAGAATCTCATTTTCCTTTGGCTATGACACCAGATTCCTCATTAGTCTCATGAATATGCATGCTGCAGAGCCGTAAGGGGTTCAGATATACAGGGTGGCGCACAAAAACTTAGACCATTTCAAATCTTTATAAAATTCTCATTTTTCTTTCGATATTTCTGAGACAAAATCTATTGAAAAGCGCAACTCAAAAAGTTTTGTTAACCCTGCCTTTTTCTTTTCAGATTTGTTATTCAGTTATTAATTAATAACTGAAGAAAAAAGAATACTCATAGTTGAAGAATATCAGCAGACTAATTCCCCATTCTTGTTGTTGCAAGACATTTCAGGCGGAAACTCCCTTGAAGAAATCCACCAACTAAGCAGTGCACAACGTTGCCAAGAAGTTTCATAATAGAGCAAGTTTTAAAATTGTCAGAAAAATCATTTCTGGCCTGGAGCATCTCTGCATTCTATCAGCTTCCTTGAATTTGATTTCGATACCGTAAATGTTTGGCTCTGTACGCACAGTCGCTCGCAGGTCAGAATAGCCTTCATTTAAACTTTTAAAATTTGCTTTATAATGAAACTTGTTGACGATGCTTAGTTGATAAATTTCTTTCAGGGAGTTTCCGACTGAAACGTCTTGCAACAATAAGAATGGGGAATTAGTCCACTGATATTCTTTAACTATGAGTATTCTTTTTTCTTCCGCTGTTTCTCCATTTCAATATATCTGAAAAGAAAAAGACAGTGTTCATAAAACTTTTAGAGTTGCGCTTTTTAATAGACTTTCTCTCAGAAGTATTGGAAGAAAAATGAGAATTTTATGAGGATATGAAATGGTCTAAGTTTTTGTGCGCCACCCTGTGTAAGAAGAATCATTGCCTTATCTATTTTCATTACCTTGGTGACGTATCTAATCGAGAGGCAATATTGTCTCGACCTAAATCCCAAGCATTATCAGTCTATCGTTGCGGGAAGAAAATCTTAAGACGATCTCCCCCTTGGCCATGCGAGGAAAGATGAACCGTATGTGACGAAAGGAGAGAGTCTTTCATGGATGTGCTGTCGGATCTCCTGGAGTTCATCGTGAAGAATCCCGGAAATGCAATCAAGAGAGAACCGAGGCAAGAACAGAAGCAGAGGGAGGGGGATTCCCTCATCAGTCTAATTTTAATTGAGAGGAGAGGCGGATAATTGAGGCAGACGGTTCCCAGGGGAAACAGTTACATCGATTCTAGAAAATCAATGGCACAGAGAGAGAAAGAGGAGAGAGAGAGAGAGAGAGAGTGAGTGCGAGGACTGATGTGGATGAACCCGAACCGAAAATGTCTATTGCGTCCCTGGGTTTCTCTGGATGGCTTTTCCCGCGAGATCACGGCGTGTCCATCCGCTGATGACACGGGGAGGAGATGACATTTCCGACCCTTTTGAGACGGACGAGAGCCTGGTTTTATGCCGGGCACGTCCAGTCCCGGGATGGTAATCATCTTCCACCATTATCCCCCGCTGCGTCTGGGGTCTCTCTCTCTCGTCCTTCCTCTCTCTTCTCGTTAGACGGTCTCTCGTCCGAGTCATGGGGAATGAGCGGAAAGAGGAAACTCGATTTCGGAATCTCGCGCGTAGCAACACGAAGGATCAACGATGACGATGAGGATTGATGAATGATATCGATGTCGTACGGGCAGATAAGTTTTGGACGGCGCCGGAAATCCTGCGGATGGAGGAGAAAAGGCCGCCGGAAGGCACTCAGAAGGGAGATGTTTATTCCTTTGCCATCATCGTCCACGAGATCAGCTTCCGAGAAGGACCTTTCTTCGTCGACAACGATCTCCTCACCCCCAGGGGTAAGTCTCCATCTCGTCAGATCGTTCAGAATCTCCGTTTCCTCCCTTCCATGTCACAAGAAGCAGTACTTTTGACTTGGAGGGGAGGATTGGGTGTACCGGAGGAGGAAATTTCTCGTTAGACCGAAAACAGTTAGTTTGAAGATTGGCAGAGGTACAGTCTCTCGAGGAATTTCCCAAAACCGGAGACCGAAATAGGGAAAAAAAAGTTCCTTTTCTCTGATTGGGATAGAATTTTAAGCCAGATTTTCTTTTCTCTTCGAAACTGCAGAAAGAGATTTCCTTGGTACAAAGGCGGCCTGATTACCTTCGATTCCATTTCACTGGTCGTTCATTGTACGGTCCCGTGCAGGAACCTTTTCCATTTCTTGGCTATTGTTCTTTATGGTAGAGTCGACCAGAATAATTTCTGGTTCCGATTTTACGAGACGTAGTCCGTCTGTATCATTGCACATAAGGCTAGAAGATGAGGTATTTCATATTATGGCGCCTCGAAATACGGGGTATTCCATAGGTTACTCACCAATTTAAATTGATCGAAATGTCTGAAGTAATTATACATAATAATATTATTATTAATGAAAAATGCATTCATTGTGAGAAAAGCTCAACCGATAAGGAGTTGAGATATCTTGAAGAAGTTTAGTGCACGAGCTCGTGGCAGTGTGTCATGGATTTGATTAGAGTGCCAAGGGCGTAGGACGAATATTCAGAGAGAAAACTTGCTGTGGAATTGAGGAGGTCTTATTAATTGCCCAAATCAGACACCCAGAAGGATTTATTTAATGAAACGCGGAACGGGAACTTTTAACGATGCATAGGGAGATCGAGAGAAGTTTTAAGGGCAAAAAGGTGAGGAAACGCGAAGAAAAATTGCCGTACTCCCGGGGAACAGAAAGAAGACGGCGCCATTAATAACTTCAGTTTTCTTTTACCCTTAAGTCCCCTTGCTATTTTGGGCTATTCATGAGTGCCTGACTGTGTGGTCATATTGAGTTGAAATCTCAGAATGCATATTCAACAAGCTGTTGGAGAGTTTGATCAATGTCTGTTACTTGGGATGCATGCATAAGCTTCATGCATTAGCCTGATGCAAGAGTCAAGTTGATGCATGCTAAGCATGCAACAGGGGCGTAATCGAAAAAAGTTTCGAAGAGGGGATGGGGGGGGGGGGGAGGAGGGGTGGGAGGGGAGCAGGAGAGATATATTTGAGAGGGTTCTTAATCTCCCAATTGTCTAGGAGCAGGGTTCCCAATCAAACCCAATTCAGAGGCTAAACTTTCAGGAAATAATTATTGAGAACATCAGGCATGCATTTCCATTCAATGTGGAATCTGTAGTAATTAGAATTCACACAAATCTCAACGCCATGTACAATATTGGGAGATTTTGTATCACCACAATTTTGTCATAGAAAGCGCTCCACTCATCATAATGATTATGATTTCTGCGCTCAAGGAGTCTCACTACAAAACTGTTTTTGAGGCTTTGGTGCGTAAAAATATTTCTTTTTATGTCACAGAGAAAAGCCTCTCGGATTGAGAAAAGGCTTCTGTGAGGCGGTTTCCTCATGCATGCGGTTTCCAAGTTTCTCCGCTGAAGTTCATAAAAACGTTAGCACAGTGTACCTTGGCACCATCCTGCTGGAACCAAACACTTCGAAGAGAGATTTGGGGATACTTAAAGGAGGGTATATGTCACTCGAGACGTTCGTGAGGGAGTCAGGCAGTTTTTCCGTGAGACTCCCCGAGTGCAGAAATTATGATGGCGGACACATGAGCATATTCTGTGGCAAAATTATGATGATACAAAATCTCCCATTTTTATTGTACTTGACGTTAATATTTGCATAAATCCTATTTGCTAATTACTTTGGAAAGTATGGTCGGTTTAAATTGCTCCGCGACTTACTCCCTGTGCTTCTTCCGCCATGACAAATGATAGGGCTTGACATACTTTCCACCACCCAATGCCTCACAGGATCGGAGTCGTTCCCGATAATTTTTTCCCTCAATAAATTATGGATTGTGGCTCTTGGGTCGATGTCCCGGGTATATTTTTACCCCGAGGAAGACATCCACCCCGGAAAAAAATGTACTGGTGTGTTTTTCCGGGGGAAAATAAATTTACCGGTTTATATGTTCCCCCCTCAGGATATTTTTCCCTTCGTGGATTTCGCTATCCCACTGTATATTTAACCTCTCCCTACTCATTTCTACTTGTGTTGACCTTGCGAAAATCTCGTTTATATTTTCCTTAGGCATCATAGCATGATACCCTGACGCTATTCTCAGTAAAGTTTAAGATCTTCTTTCATATCCTCTGCCCTTGCTTCGCGGAAAAAGAGACTTGTATCATCTGGTTAAATCGTCTCTACTGATATAAATTTATGGTACGAAACATTCCCCTTCTCATCATGAATGTTGCCCTGAATGAGCAAATGTGTGAAGATCCAAGTATATTTTTATAATCGAAAGGACAACGGAAAAGCGACGTATCCATGAAGTGAGTCGAAAGAGAAAAAAATCTTCCAGAACCTTTGCTCATCCATTTAATTTGCCAAATGGTGCTCTCTTTCATTGAACAAAAAAAAAGAGAAAACCAGGAGAGCTCTAGCTGAGAATGTGGAAAAGAAAACATGATTGATGAATTTCATCGTGTATTTGGTGGCGATCGTTTCGGGAGGAGTACTACCTCTTAGAAAGTTAGTGGCAATTATTGGTGGAAGGGCATCTCTAAGGATTTCGAACAGTGTTATTGGAAATGTGAAGTACGCTAGAAGAGTACTTCTGCGTCTACACTGAGCGCTTCTATAAGCTTGAAATTCTAGTTTAAAACGTAAAAAAATATAGAGATATACAAAACAGGAAAAGCAAGCCAGTCTTTATGCTCCTATTGGTAGTTACTGTAAGCACCACCTGTAGCAAACGGCGGAGGTTATAGTTGCAGCGAACGAATTCTTATCTTACACGGCCGGGTTGAGGTTCGTATGATCAAGGACGGGAGTTTCCCGACGAAGTGAAATTGTGTTCAGGCTTTCATAGGATCTATTGAATACTGTATATGTGTTTTCTTCCTCCATGCAGGATTAAATTATAATCCCACTGGTGGGAATTTTGCTTATTGAGTATTGCGATCCCGGAATTAAACCCCATAAAGTCCATTCGTTGCTGGATTTTTAAATGCATTTTTCAATTTTCATTGCATGATGAGTCGCAAAATAACACGCAATCTATGTAGAAGACACGCCACTTATGGAGAATTTCATTAAAACCTAGGAAAAAAGCTGAAGTTGCAGGGGCCAAGAAACTAACGCAGGCTGGAAAAAATGCTAATCTCAGTCTGGTCCCCCCTTCCCTCCGTCCGGGAGGAAATAATATTCGGGGGGAAAGAATACACTGTGACACCAGATTACTTTGATGGTAATATCTACTCCTACTTGCAGCCTCCGAGCAAGGGGCTGAATGACAATAGGAAAGCTGCCTACTGCATCATGCCATTTCGGCTTGCAACGCGTAATGAACGCGGGAGTATTTTTTTGTTCTCAGACCCAGACTCGAGGTGACATCAGACGCTATGGTTTTGTTCATACAGTATATGACTGCTCCCATATGAAAAAGTTTGCAACGAGCAGGTGATTAAACGTCATGAGAAGACCGTGAATTTTTAGGTCAGCCGCATGCCTAGTTCCTCTCTTGCAGTCGCCATGTCGAGATCAGATGGAGTTTTCTGGGGGTGAAATCTGACTGCTGGAGTCATTTATTATTATTCTTAATGGTAGGGGGTGGATTGCATAAAACTGACGTTAGCGTAATGGAGCTTTAAACCTCCTTTGGCGGCCCTAAAGGAATTTTTAAGCTCCATTATGCTAAAGTCAGTTTTATGCAATCCACCCTGGGACTTTATTGAGGGAGATTAGAGGATGTGAGCGAAGTCGAAAATGTGACAGACGTGTGCGAATGCAAAGACGACTGACAAGGAGGCGAGAAAAGGGTTTCGAAGCCAATATTTTCCGGGAATTACGAGACGAAGATCTTCATTTCCGTGCTCTTTTGAGTATTAATTCACGGAACCACTGGCACTCGTTGAACCCAAAATCAAGAGAGTTGATTCAGTCATGTGGAAAGCGCCATGTTGGCTGACCATACAAAGTAATCAGGGGGCATACTTGCTATGAGCGACCACAAAAAAGTGAAAGTGCCTCGAGATTTACGAGTTGGTATCTCACTTATATGTGAGTCTATGAGCCGCTCATAGACCCTGATTATAAGAGCTCATAGCTCATATTGGAACAGTCATATATGAGCAAAATTATAGCGTGTGATGGCGCCTTCAGGCAGACACCATTGTTTTATTTTAATGGAGCCTGCGACGCTTCCATGCGGAATGGAGCAAAAGGATTGAATCCTGGGCTTGGTCTGGCCGCACGATCTCCCCACCAAGTCAGTCCCACCCCTACCAGCTCATCCACTCCAACCTTTCAGTACAACTCGTCCGCATCAGTAATATACAATTAATTGATTTTTTTTTCGAATAGTTTTTTTTTTGGCCAGAATAATTCATGTAAGAAAGTAGTTGGATTCTGCATTCTTGCTTCCTGGTAGCAAAATATTCCCTTATCAGCAGGAAATTTCTTACAAGCATATCTCCTCAAATCCAAGGAGACATGTGGCTAGTAAGCATATATCCAATAGGCATAACTAGTAATCGCCATGGCAAATCTTAAAACAAAAAGGCCCCATGCCTCCCACACTCCAAAGGCCCACAAGGGTGGGCCCAGAAATTATTGACGGGGGAGAAGAGGGGCATCAAGGGAATTCGCTGACGAGCTGGGAGGTGGAGGAGGCATGTTAAACGAGGAGGAAAGGGCAGAGAAGGTCCATCATGGAAATGAACCTCTTCTACTCCTAATGGATCTCCATGCAAAAGCCCAACTCTCTTGACAAGTTTGAAATGAATCGGGAGAGAGAGAGAGAGAGAGGGGGGGGGGGTGGTAGGCCGCTCTTATTTCCTTATTCTCCCCTTCTCAGATGCCCCAACGAGGCCGTAATTCATTTTCCATTTATGATACTGGTGTTCCATGGCGTGAGGATGTCAGGTTGGTCTAATTAAGTGCAAATGG